CTTGAAGGTTGAGGGGCACCTGGCTGGCTCAGTTGGTGGAGCATGCAACTCCTGATCTCAGGGTTGTGAGTTCGAGCCCCACATTGGGTGTAGAGATTATTTGAAAATAAAAATCTTTTAAAAAATAAATTTAAAAAAATCTTGAAGGTTGATTATCTCTTCTGAAGTCTCTCATAGCAGTGGTAGGGAGAGAATCCCATCACGTAACATAGAGCAAAACTCCCGGAAAGTCTTCTGTGGCTCTTACTCCCTACTCCCCAGTCTCCTTGTACTGTCTTCCCCACAATGCAAGCACTCCTCTTTTGGCAGGGCCCCCTTGTTGGTCAGGGCCAGTCACAACTTGGGTTGCTACTACTTTTTCTTTTAAGATTTTATTTATTTATTTGAGAGAAGAGAGAGACAGAGTACGAGCGAGAGGAGGGGCAGAGGGAGAGGGAGAAGCAGGCTCTCCGCTGAGCAAGGAGCCTGCCATTACAGGGCTCGATCCTAGGCCTGGGATCATGACCTCAGCTGAAGTCAGACGCGTCACCGACTGAGCCACCCAGCCACCCCTACTTGCTACTACTTTTTAAAATTGCCTCCATTGTTTGCTGATTGTATGTGTGACACATGTTCATTGTAAAAAAAAAAAAAAAAAATCAGGAAATGAAGAAACGCATAAGCCATCCTGCCACCACCCAAAGATAAGAAGCACTGATCTTTCTGATAGACACGGCAGAGGCCGTAGCTAGCCAAAGTAGTCACCTGACGGAACCTTCCAGAATCCCTAGTGTGGGTGACAAGGCGGTAAAGATGGCTTCATTCTCTCCTCTGTCCCTTCCCCAGCCATTGATGTCTCCAAAGGCTTGAGGTATTTTCCTCAGCCAGTGGGGACTGTTCCTGAAGGAGTCAGTTCCAAGTATCCATATCCCTCATGGGTATCCTCAAAATAGTTCTGCTGCCAGGAAGCCTTCAAGCCTGAGGATTTGTGGAGTAGGAATGGAATATGAACATTCCAAAAATGTGTTTCTAGGCACTGACAGCTGGATCTGACAAATTGGAAAACGCATCTCTCCGGCCAATCCCAGAGCCAAGTTTGTGTTTCTCAGGGGCCGTGACATGCCCTGTTAAGCCACCCTTCTAATGACGGCTCTGCTTTCCATTCCAGAGACCTGAATTATAATGAGCTGCAGGAGTTCCCCATCGCCATCCGGATGCTGGGCAGACTGCAGGAACTGTAAGCATCTCCTGGTTTCCGGGGGTGTCCTCTTCTCTGTTCTCCCAAGGGCAGGGGCTGACGCCTCCAGCCTTGGGCCTCCCTCACACCCTCATCTCCCGTGGTCTGTAGAAACTGGAGCTGGGTGCCCTCCCTGGCCCCCAGCACGGGTCTGAGTAGTCACAGACCTCATTAGTTTGGCATGGAGCATTTCCGAGTAGTGTGTCATCAGCAGAAATGGCCGTGGGCCCTTCCAGCCCGGAGAGACACATGGCACACGACACCTCCTGGTAGGCTGGGCCTGGCACTGCCCCCACCTTGGTTGGGGTGCGTCCAGAGATGAATGAGAAGAGGAGCTGGGGGCTGGTTAACTGGGTCACTCCTCAGCACCTGATTCCAAGGAGGAGATGAGAAGCTGGATGCAGTTCCCCACGGACACCTCTTCTTTTTATTCTGTTTTAGCACCAACTGTGCCAAGCCCTCTGCTTGCTACTAAACATAATCAAGGATTCAGATAGACCTGGGCTATCCCCGAGGACCCTTTAGGTCTGTCAGGGACCAGGACAGAGCAGCTTCGGGTTGGTATATAATTCCAGCCCTAATTGTACAGTAGTAGCTAAAATGACCGGGAATCCCGAGTGACGTGGAAAGAACATTGTGGATGAATACTTCTGAGATTAGTCTTACAGGATGGATGGGATTTAGGTGGCCATGATGGGGGGTGGGGGTTGGCCTTTCAGACAGAAGAACCAAGTAGGTAGAGATTGGAAGTTCAATGGGCAGAGAGATGACCACAAGAGAGACCAGCCTTCCTGGAGAAGAGGCTCTTGGCAAACAGTAGGAGATCTATTGTTAGTAAAGCGGCACCAGATTAAGGGAGCCTGACATTTCTGAGCAGAGCCCCACACTTTCAGGCAGCCTAGCATCTTTACTCAAACTACCGTCTGAGACCTGCTGGACCAACCCCATGCCATGCCCCATCCCCCCCCATCAGAAGCTGGAAGGTATGAAGGCCAGTTGTGTGTAGCAGATAAGGAGCAACCAGACCAACTTGGGGGAAGGGTCGGAAGTCCTCCACTGCCAATGAGTCCCCAATGAGTATAGGTGTGTCTGTCTGTCTGTCTGTCTCTGTATCTCTACATCTACTGAGAGAAAGCTGCTTGAGGACAAGTTTAGAGAAACTTCTAAATCTCTCAGAGCTTAGCTCAGCATTAGACATAAAGGAAGAGTCCAAAAACATATAACGAGCAAATTCATGAAGGACTGAGAGAATGAGGAGAGCAGCCTAGGCGGGTGGCACGGGCTGGGGGTGTCTGGGGGGACCTGTGGGGAGAGCATGAAGGTGGGAATAATAAGGGAAGGGGAGGGAGGAGAGAGAGGAGGTGGAGGCAAGGAAGCATGAGGAGACACTAGAAATCTCCAGTGAAAAAAAGGGTGGCTGGTTTCTCATGTTTCTCAGTCCAACTTTTATCTTAAAATGTTTGCCCCAACTAACCAAACTCATAATTCCTGGCTTCCAGAGCCCTGGACACTGAGCTGGTACCTCCTTCCTTCTGCCGTTGCCCTTCTAGATTCCTTAGTCTCCAGGTCTGGAGGCCAAGCCAGCCTCCATTTGGGGAACATCTCTCATCCCTGCAACCCCCAGAAGCTCTGTTTTTCTTACACACCCTCAGCTTCCTCTTGGGGACCTTGCGGGGTTCCCTCCACAAATGACTGAGGAGAGGACTTGTCTCCTGGGATCTGAACTCAGCCTCCTGCTCCCAAGTTGCTCCCCGGCCCCCCGGCTCCCTGAGCTCCACTTTTCACTCCTTTTACAAGTGTCAGAGAAAAGGACGGGTGTGTTATGGAATGGACACGTCCCAGGCAGGAGGTGAACCCCAAATCTCCAGGCTGACGTCTCTTTGGTCTTATGGCCTTCCTAGTCAGCTTTCCAGAAGCTTCATGGAATTCCATCTCTCCCTCTCCACACCTCTCTCCAAGTCCTCACTGACTCATGGTGTTGTCTTCCAGAGGGTTCCATAACAACAACATCAGGGCCATCCCAGAAAAGGCCTTCATGGGGAACCCTCTGCTGCAGACAATGTGAGTACTCACTTCTCCCATCTCTTGGTGCGGAGCTGTGTTTGGGGGAGGGGGGCCGGGGCTGGGGAGGCCGGACTCTGGGAGGGGGTGCCTTCCGCTGTGTGCTCTTTCCCCGTCTCGTGGGTAAGAGGACGAAGCAGAGATCGGCCTAGGTCCCAGCTCAAAGGACTGAATAACTAAATTCGGTGTTCGGGTCTTTTTCTTCCAGACACTTTTATGATAACCCGATCCAGTTTGTGGGAAGGTCAGCATTCCAGTACCTGCCTAAACTGCACACACTGTAAGTTGGACCTCCCCCAGGCCTCCCTGCTTCCCGCCACCTCCTGGCTCCCTTCTGCAGCTCTCACACGTGCAGGCACAGCCCCCACCACAAGGCCTGGTCTTCGGTGCTGCAGCCTCTGCTCAGGCCTATTCCCAGATCTGGCTGCACCGAACAGCCTCCCTTCAGCTCCCCACGGCTTCCTCCCAGATCCCAGATGAGTGAAAGAGGGCCCTTCTCCAGAGCCCAGGAGTTTTATCTGGCCTCTTCAGGGTCCTGCTCCGGGGAGCTGTTCCATAAATACTTGCTGAAGGAACCAGTGATGGGATAAGGGTCTGGTTCTCCAGTGACCTTGGAGCATGGGTCCCTCGGCCCTTTGCTGCACCACCTTCACTGCTTTGGGCCCGACGGCATTCCCTTGTTTCCTTTCTCCCATTCTTTTCATTCCCAGCCCAAGTTCCGCTTCTTCAAAAATCTTCCACGGATTACACGCCACACATGGCATCCCAGGAACATTACCAACATCTTCAAGCACACACTTCGCTTTCATGTCCATTATCGCGTTTCGTTGTCACTCTAACCGTGTGAGGTGGGTGGTGGTAGCACATTTTGTAGATGGATCCCGAGGCTCCCGGGCTCTGCTCTGCCATGAGCTAGGACCCTGGACTCCAGATCCGAGAGGCTCCTTTCTGGACCCTACACTGCCTCCCTGTGGTCTGGCAGGACCCATTTTTGCTGTGCCTGGTTGGGTCCCTGTCCTCACCGGTAGGGGACAGCAGGGAGGGGAAAAGCCATCAGTCTAAAGCAATCTAAGAGAGAGCTGGTGGGAAGGTTGTAATAAAGCTTTAGTGGATGATGATTTGGGGGAGACCCTATCTCAGGCTCTAATAAGCAAACGCCCGCAGCCAGGAACTTTTTCAGAAGCTCCCATGCTGGAGCCTTTTAGACAGACGCCATTGCCATGTCCCTTGCCTGTATTTTTTTTCTTTGTTCATTTGTTGTGTTTTGCATGCTGGGGCCCAGATGCCAGGTTGTGTTCTCCCGTTGGGGGCTCTTAGGGGCTGGGCTAACTTAAGGAAATGGAAGTTTGGACCCTGCTGAGCCAAGCTCCGCCCCTACAGGGCCTGAGTAGCTGGAGTATTTTGAGGCTGGGGGGAAGGATAACATTTCCCCAAAAGGTAGGGTCTCTCAAGGGGAGATCAATGATGGTGGGGAGCCCAGATATCGAGATGCTCTGACCCCACCCTTCTGAGTTTGTCGCATCCCTTTCCAGATCCCTGAATGGTGCCACGGACATCCAGGAGTTCCCAGATCTCAAAGGGACCACGAGCCTGGAGATCCTGTGAGTGGATACACTCAGCCTCTACCCCATCTGTGCCCCTGCTTCGCCCGCAGGAGCTCTTCTGTCTGCCTGTCCCCCAGAAGGCTGCCCAGATCCTCTGCTTACCCCTTATCTGGCCTGCTTCTGCTGCTGGCTCCAGCCTGGCCCGGGGGTCACCTGGCTCAGCCCCAGGGGCCCATGGCCATCTCCTGATATGGCACTGCTGCAGGCAAGGCCGGAGGTGGCAGATGGTTTGAGGGTGAGGAGGCTGGTCTTCTCATGACCATGCTTGGATTTTTCAGGCATGACTTCAGAGTTCCTAACCCCAAGCTGTGAGCGTGCTGAGGACCTGTGACAGGGGGAGCAGGGTTGTGGAAACACATCTCCTTTGGCTTTCTTTCTTTTTTTTTTTTTTTTAAGATTTTATATATTTACTTGAGAGAGAGAGAATGAG